AATTTACCATCTTAGTCAAATGGTTAAAACAGGCAAGAAACACATGCTGACATGCACATGTGAGGGGTTTTTTTTTCTCTCTGCAGGCCATTCTCAATTACCTGACTCAATAAAAGAAGATTTCATAAAGTTTACAGACTCTGCTCTACCGTATTGTGTTGGGTTACCCCGCTCCACTGAGTGGAAAAGGGTAGTGGGTGCCCTGAGAGCACACTTCCTGTTAACCTTGGTGGTCTATTTGAATGAATTCACAGATGGTCATGCAAAAAACTCTGAAGAGGCCTAAATGTCCCAGTTATCATTTCATATTTTATTTTGAATTAAATTCGTCATAAACGTCCTTATGCTGTGTTTGATGGGATTAACAGTTAGGTTTGGAAGGCATGATCGCTCTGATTGTGATGGTTGGCCGTGCAAGGTTCATTCCCTCTGACGTCTCTATTTCTTAATCTAATGTCAAAACCAGACACGCATTGGGGACAAAACATTAATCAAATACTTGTCATGCTTCTGTGCTGAAATTAGAGGTTGAACGTTTAATAAAAATGACACTGCTGGGAGTCGTTCTAGGAGCCCTTGTTTGTTTACTGAAATTGACGATCAACTTAAATGGGACTTCAGGATGGATGTTCTCTCTTTTCCTATATGTCAGCTTCAGCATCTGTTGAACAGAAGGACTGGAGTGTAAAATGCAGATAAAAACATGCACTGACCCATGGAGAGACAGAGGAAGAACAGGGGCTTCCGACAAAATATAGACTCGTTCGGCGAGGGTATCGGTCCCCAGCTTTTTGATTGACACTGTCCTGAGGGAGCAATGCAGAACATTCCAAAATTCAGGAAGGCCTTGACCTCATGTCCAAAAAGGACTTTACCTCATAGCTGGAAGGCTGTGCGGGTAGTCATCGGTCCCCAGTTATTAGATTGACACGGTCCTGAGGGTGCAGTGCAGAACATTCCACAAATCAAGAAGACCTTGACCTCGAGTCCAAAAAGGACTTCACCTCATAGCTGGAAGGCTGCCTGAAACAGTAGCAAGCACAATGGAAATGCTAGAGAAACTGCACACATGAAACTGAGTTCATTTTGTCAAAACTTGTAGAATCTTCTTTAAAAGTAGGCCTAATGTTAATGGTTTCCCACTCTCTAACCAACATTTTGCATAATAGAACTGTGGAGAATTTCTGAATGATATGCTGTTTGAAAACTTAAAAAAAAATCAAAATAAACAATTAGAGCCACTGGTTCAGAACACTAGACTGTGGAAAGCAAACAATCTTGAGGTTATGTTTGCACATCACCTGTTACCACATATGGTAAAGAGCTCAGAACATGCATCTCCACATGTGTGGAACATCTGAATTTCTTCAAGTGAAATTTGTGGGAACTTTTTGAAAGATGCTGCCTTCAAGTGTACCTGGGGAACTCCAAGTTGGGCATTCATTACAAAGACATGTCACGCATTGAAGTCGGAAGTAGCCTAAAAAAAAATTATAATAATAATTATTTGAAAAATAAATCCAAATACCAACATCTGAATTCAAAATGCTGAAAAATATTCATTCCTATATCACTAATTTATACATGGTTTAAAAACTACATGTTTGTGTTACACAAAGCAAACCATGATGACTGAGGTTCTGCATATCAAATTAAAACAACTTGCTAAATTATACATTATAATTTACTACAGACATGCTTCCTACTGTTTTACAAGTGTTTTCGTAATGTTTAAAAATTGTCATGCCCTATTCCAACTCGACAAGTCATGTCTTTCCCACTTGTAAATATGACTTTGTTCAGTCATTCATTTGCTTGTAACTTGTAATTACAATATTTCCAGCTCTACATGAAGGGCAAGAGAACTGACCAAAATAACAGACATAGTAATATTTAGATGCTGAACCATGTTTAGCACAAGCAGACTAAATCATTTTGCAAACGTTCTTCCATTTCACTTTCTCTGAGCTCATATAAAAACTGAAGTACCCACAAATACTAGACTGCCAGCTTCTTTTCTGCAGTGTGTTCAGATGCTGACTTTGCAAGGCTTAATAGTGACGTCAGAATGAACAGCCCACACAAGTAGCTTATGAAAATCAAACAGGACACTGTAAAAGTGAAACTCATTTGAGCTCTTTGTGATGTTGCTTAAATGAACCAGTGGAGATACTAATATAAAAAGAATATGCACTTTTAATCTCTTTTCTATAAGAGATTCACTTTTTAGGGAAGTTGTGGCCTAATGGTTAGAGAGTCGGACTCGTAACTCAAAGGTTGTGGGTTCGAGTCTCGTACCGGCAGGGATTGTAGGTGGGGGGAGTGAATGTACAGCGCTCTCTCCCACCTTCAATACCACGACTGAGGTGCCCTTGAGCAAGGCACCGAATGCTCCCCGGGCGCCGCAGCATAAATGACTGCCCACTGCTCCGGGTGTGTGTTCACAGTTTGTGTGTGTTCACTGCTGTGTGTGTGCACTTTGGATGGGTAAATGCAGAGCACTAATTCCGAGTATGGGTCACCATACTTGGCCACATGTCACGTCACTTTCACTTTTTTTTTCACTTTCATAAAGTAAATCTGAGAGAATTCACACAAAAATACTTTTTGCACAGGTTAAAAACATTAAACAGCAATTTTAGCTTACAAAATGTCAACCTCAAACTCATTTGGTTTCACATATCATGCAAGGTTCAGTTTTGTTTCTCATTTTCACACCCCATTGGTGAGTCAATCTGGAATGTCTGAATATGAATTCAGTGGAAGTGAAGCCCTTCACACCACTAGGATTCATTTTTTATTTGTTAAAGAACAAAGCGCAGACCGAATCTGCTTTGTTTTTGGAAAGGATTGATCTCATTTAAAAGCAACTAGTGGGATTTCAAGTGGCCTGCGAACAGCAGGAAATTTACTAAATATTTTTGAAGCCTACGCTTCAGAAATCTTCAGAAGATCAGAGTTGCAGATATTAGATTCAGCTTCAGACGAGCAGCACATGCATGACACAGTATGGCATTCTGCTTTATATTGATAAGTTTAAAATAAATAGAACTATGCTGTGAATTTTCTATCTAGATCAACAGCATTAATACCCAGATATTTCCAAAGCATGTCCTAAATAGAATTATTTGCACAATGTTTTTTATATGTGGAGTTCTTAAAAGAGTATTTTTCATGTAAAGATGATGGTATATTTAGTAATATGCACTCCCATAGAAACTAATGCAAAGATTCTAGGATTTTTGCTCACTGGTCACTAAAGTTGACAGGTATATTTCTGAGTAAACATCCAGGAATGGCTCATGAATTAAACATCACCACATGGCATCATTTCTAGCAAGTTGTCAAAAGCTCTTCCTAAGATTGTCTGCTTGTACAGCAGTGGTTTTTGAAGTATTGTCACACAAAAAAATATTTCCAAATGGAAAAATATGGGTAGAGCCTTCAGCAACTTTAGTTGCCTGCAGGCTTACATGGGTTAAAATTAGTTATGTTCCCTTTCTATTCCTATTCATTTATTTAAGTTAACCTCACATCATAGCAATTGGTTTACAGAAGCATTACCTGGTGTCTAGACCTCACGAGATCTGTTTTCCACTTTAATTTACATAATGGATCTTCTTTGTGAAGTTGTACAATTTGACATATGTTAGTATTTTTCTCAGAACACATCTCCTTGTATCTTTTAACGAAGGCCGATTGCTTGGGAAATTCTACAGGAATTTACTAGAACCATTTTTTATGAATGCCTTGGGGTTGAACTCTAACCAGTGTCATGCAGAGAAGCACATAACAAGCTGTTTGTTGGTTGTTATTTTGTTGTCGTCTGCTTTTTTCTTCTTTTCAGTTGCATTGTTTTATTGGGGGGATTTATCCTGTGGTAATGACAGAATGGCAAATGAGCATAAGAAATGGCAAAGTAATCTTCATTTAGTATGTTATGGAAGTGCTGGCTTAAAAACAAAAAAAAATGTTAGCAGACACAAAATGAGGAAACTTACCTCTGATATCAAGCAGTGAGGGAGGAATTTTAAAACAGAAGGTTCACTATGTCCCCTGTTTATTCTTATACTTTGTAGGCCTATAATATGCTCAACAAATTTGCTGTCTAAATGTGCCCAGGTTTCCTATTTGTACAGCCAGTCAGCATTACAATCAGACAATTGTCTCGAAGAGAGCTTGTTTCTCTTGTCTTGAACTACTACTAACACAATGCAGGTGCAGGATGCAGGTCACCTCACAATATCTCAAAGGTCTCCGAGGTGCGATTGTTCATGTGTCCTGATGCATTTTCAAGTCTGAAAATGTCATTTGTGAAGACCAGCCTGTAAAATTGAGCCAACTGATGCTAAATGTTTTTGCTGAATTAAAATGCCAAGCTTTAAAATATATTTTATTGAATAGAAATTGTGAGTAAAAAATAAATAAATAGAATATTGTTGTGGGCAATAGGAGGTCTTGGAGTCAAGGTTAAGAACTGCTTTAAATGCATATAACCTATATGACAGGTATTTAAGGCTTTAAGTATACAGATCATACAGATTTTGTCAAAGTGTACTTCTACATTTAAAGCTCGTTTGTTAGTTTAATCCTTTGAGGAGTCTGTTGTTGTTGTTGAATTAGTAGCGACATTCTGACACTATCTGGCTAAGTATTGCAATTACACACAAACTATTACTGCTGTTCATACTTTGTGATTTTACTGATTATTTTGTCTTATGAAACTTTTTTTTTTGTATGTTACACTACTATTTTCATGGCTGATAGATGCTCAGAGCTACAATTCTCTGTTGACTTTTCAAAAATGAATCGAAGTCTATAAATATGATTCGCCATGACATTCAGACAATTTTTCGATAACATTGTCGGCTATATCCTATAACAACAAAGTGTCATAACTTTTGCAAATTGTTTACTACTGTGTTTTGCTTAGAGTTTTGAGTGAGGAGAAAACCCAAATCTCGAATGAACATTTAATATGACCAGGAGATGGCGGTAACGATATATTAAACACAATTCTTACCCTTCAAACCACCATCGAGGTTAGTGCTGGATCAACATGGCGGCATGGAAGCTCCTCAGCACGGGCATGGGGTTTCTGCATTCGTCCTTGCCGATTTGTAGACAGGTAAATTCAGTTTAGAAAAAATCTGATTTGTAAATTCAAAGTCTGTTAGGACTTTGAATGCATTGTATTTGTGTTTGAATGGTGTTGTATTTCGATTGCGATCACGTTAGACTGTAATAAGATACACCAAGACATACTAGTGACATTTATAGTTTACTAACTTATTTTTATTTTTTGTCATTTTTGGGGGGTTTTTGACTAGGTGTATTTCAGATATAAACGTATTCAAATGTAAAATCTCCTCTGATGTTCTTCAGGCCTACAGAAGTTCACTTGGAGTGGTGGAGCAGGTCAGGAGCTACTATGTTGACTGGAGGATGGTACGGGATGTGAAAAGGAGACAAATGGCATTTGAATTTGCAGATACAAGACTGCGCATCAATGCCATTAGGAAGAATACCATTTTGCCAAAAGAGCTACAGGTAACTGTTAACATTCAGTCTTGCAGTTTCTATTTGATGGAAGTTTATACCCTCTTTAGATTGTTTTCCATGTGCATGATTGGATTTTTTGGTGAGGATTTTAAATCCATTTACACAGTCATTAACCTTTATTTTGATTTGCAATGAATTAATAAATTAAATGTCACAATATTGATAATAATACAGGCCATGTCTCATGTTTATTTCCTCAGGAGATAGCTGATAAAGAAATAGCTGCACTACCCCGAGACAGTTGTCCTGTGCGCATTCGCAACAGGTGTGTGATGACATCACGTCCTCGTGGAGTGAAGCGCAGGTGGCGTCTCAGTCGCATTGTTTTTCGGCATTTAGCGGACCACAACCAGATGTCTGGAATACAGAGATCAATGTGGTGATCAGCCATGGGATTGTGCTAAAACAGGGGTGTCCAAACTCGGTCCTGGAGGGCCGATGTCCTGTAGAGTTTTGCTCCAACTTGCCTCAACACACCTGCCTGGAAGTTTCTAGTATGCCTTGTAAGATCTTGATTAGCTGGTTCAGGTGTGTTTGATTAGGGTTGGAGCTAAACTCTGTAGGACAGCGGCCCTCCAGGACCAAGTTTGGGCACCCCTGTTCTAAAACCTTGTCTTGAAAGAGAAGATATTCTTGCATAAAATACAAAGACGTAGAGCTGTAAAACCAACAAGCACCTGCTCAAATGTTGTATTTTTTTTTCTACTAAATTGGTTCAGATTTCACATTGTCACTTTGTTTTTGTTTTTTTCATTTTCAAATGATGGCAAATTATGTAAGTTATTTTATTGTAGATACAATAAAAAGGTGTAATGTGCTACTTTTGTGTTTTGCGATTTTATTTTCATTTTTATTTTTTAGGTTACTGGTATATAACCTTTTTACTTATTGATTATCTCTTTATTTGGTGTCACACACTAGAATATTATATATTTTTGACTAATTTGACAAAAAATACAAAAGACATTTTATCAACAACGCAAAGAGCTTTAAATAATTTATTGTTAATTAAATTTTCATTCTTATTTGTATGTAGACAAATTTTCTTGTTAACTAGTAAATGTTTTGAGTATATTGGAATGTTTTCTGGTTGCTGTAATCTTGAAAGTTATGAGTACATTTACATTTTTAAATTTAGTGTATATTTTTGTACTTTATTATGTTAAGAATCATTTTATCCCATATGTAATGTAATAAATTTGAAACATTGTAATACTTTTTTTTTTTTCATTATGAATATGAACGTTCGGTTTTTGTAAGAATTATTTAGTAGTGTAATTGCGGTCATTTATCAAAGGCAACTAAAATGAGGTCTTTTATTTTGACATCACAGAACGCGGAAGCAAGAATCCTTCTAGAAACAACGCTGAATGCATATGTCAGCGGACAAGCAGCGCCCGATTGAAAGCAAAGTTAATTTCCATTACTTCAATTAAATACTGCAGAAGGTAGTTTCCTAAGGTTTCTTCAAAGGCAGCGATGGACATCAATGAGCTGGTATAATTGTGTGTGTGTGTGTTTCATTTTAGTTCCATCTAACGTTAGTGATAGCAGTCTTGCCAGCCGCCAGGTTTCGTTTTCATTGTACTGTAAAGCCCCATGCACTGATATACAGAAGCGTATGAATGTGAATGAAACTCCTGTTTTACTAGGATGTTTTATAGGATAATATACACATTGGGTGAATTAAGTATGGCTCTGAGATGACAGCTGCCTGCTGATCTCACTTGTGCTGAACATGTAAACATGCTTCTTCACTTGTTCTCAGATTTGACTTTGTGTCTTTAGATCGCCGGTCTTGAGAGTGATCTTAAAGAGATCACGAGCCTGCTGGAGAAATGTGAACGCCAGCGCGTGCGGGACGTGTTAACGCAAGAGCAGAAGAAGATCGAGAAAGAGCTGGCGCAGAAACGACAGCAGAAACTGCAGCAAGCCAAGAAAGAGTCTGGAGACAAAACTGACACAATACTCAAAGGATACACAGTCAAAATTAATAATTATGGTGCGTTCATACCTCATGATAATAGGCATAGGCTATTCCATAATGATATGCTTGGTCTAATACACCTGTCAATGTTTTCTTGTGTCTTAGGATGGGACCAGTCTGACAAATTCGTCAAAATCTACATTACACTAAAAGGAGTACATACTATTCCAGCTGAAAATGTTGAGGCCAACTTTACAGAGAGGTATTGTTTTCACATTGAATATTGCTGCATTTTTTATTATGGTAAAATGATGCAATATTGCTTATTGTTGTTTTTAATAATTAATATTCAAATAAATATATTCTTAAAATTAAATTCACATTTGAATATATATATATATATATATATATATATATATATATATATATATATATCTATATTTATTTTTATTTTTTTAGTTATTTTTTAACCTAATCAAAATAACCCAACTGCAGTTTGATTGAGATGAATTGGAATACACAATGAAAAAAAAAAACATCATTTTTGAGAATTGTTAACAATGGAGTTATCGATTTTTGCAAATGAACTCTTCATATATATACACACACACGGTGGCATGCAAAAGTTTGGGAACCCCTTGCAGAATCTATAATACAGTGGTATGCGAAAGTTTGGGAACCCCTTGCAGAATCTGTGAAAATGTGAATAATTTTAACAAAATAAGAGAGATCATACGAAATTCAGTTCAGACACAACTATTGTGTGCAATAACAACAACACAACTATTAAAAAAGGTTCAAACATTCACTGATGCTCCAGAAGGAAAAATTATGCATTAAGAGCCGGGGGTGAAAACGTTTCGAATTTGAAGATCAAGGTAAATTGTACTTCATTTGTCTTCTGGGAAACATGCAAGTATCTTCTGTTGCTTCCGAAGGGCAGTACTAAATGGAAAAAAAAATAATATTTATATAATTTGGACATCTTCATCCTGTTAAAAAGTTTTCACCCCCGGCTCTTAATGCATCATTTTCCTTCTGGAGCATCAGTGAATGTTTTAACCTTTTTTAATAGTTGTGTTTGAGTCCCTCAATTGTCCTCAGTGTGAAAAGATGGATCTCAAAAATTCCCAAACTTTTGAAGGGGGTTATTTGAATAATTTCAGCTTTTTTTTTGGTCTTGTGGACTATATGTAAACATCTTTATGTAAAATATCTTACTCAGGACAGTACTAAATAAAAAAATTACATGCATTTTATATGATCTCTCTTATTTTGTTAAAATTATTCACATTTTCTGCAAGGTATGTATGCATGTTCTGCTATTCTGTCTTCACAGAGGCTTCAGTGTTCTAGTCAAAGATCTGGATGGGAAGAACCATCAAATGACAGTCAACAACCTTTTATATCCCATTATTGTAGCAGAGAGTAGTAAAAAGGTATGTCACTTTCTTTATGTTATTGTATATTTTGTTGTCAGATTGATTTGAGGTTTGTCATTTTCTTTGTTTTTGTATATTGGCAAATTTATTTGTTTTATGGATAAAATTGTATAGATAAAGAGGCAATTGTAAAATGCATTCATTTGTTTACAGATAAAAACAGACATGGTGCTTGTTATGTGCAAGAAGTCGTCAACAAAAAAGTGGGACTGCTTGACACAAGTAGAAAAACAGTCTAAGGAGAAAGAGTGAGTAAAATGCACACACTTTCATTTTCTATTGGTTTTACTTTTTAAAATTAATATATTGAAGCAAATTTTAAATCAAATGGTGCAGATGCATAAAAAGAAAATATAAATTTAGAAATTATAAAATTATAAATGTAAATTAATATTATTCAAACTATTATAAAAAGCATATTACTATATATTATAAAAGTATATAATTATTAAATATATATATATATGTATATTTGACTGCATAATGCGCTATTATCTGGGTAACATCATAGTAATAAGTATCATACTAAATTTGGTTCTTCAAATTATGTTTATAAGTCATAAATGGTAATTGAATGGTAATCTGTCTGTTTCAGCAAACCCAACTTGGATGAGAACGCTGATCCAAGCGAGGGGCTGATGAGCGTGCTGAAGAAGATCTACACGGATGGAAATGACGAGATGAAGCGCACTATCAACAAGGCCTGGGTTGAGTCTCAGGAGAAGAAGGCCAAAGCAGATGACTTTGACTTCTAAGCCAGTTTATTGGTCTGCTTTCACAGTGAAACACCCAAATTCAGCTGCTGCATGCATGCCATTCCAATTTATTCAGATAATTTTATGTATTTTTGTACTTTTCTTTCCTGTTAAATGCAGCTGTTGCTGAAAGTTTTGTTTCGTAAAGTGTTTCCATTTCCACTGTAATTTTCACAGCATTCATAATTTTAAGTTGTTCCATATGGTAAACAAGGTTATGGTAAACAGATGTTCAGGAAATTTTCAGTCAATGTTATTGCACTTAAGACCATGTACCTTAAATGTGGAAAATGAAAATAAATTTAAAAAGTCATTTATTGGTTCTGGTGGTCATGAAATTAAATGTTGCTGTCATGTAATATTACTCTCATCATCATGGAGAGAAAACAGAGTTAGATTACAGAGTATCTAAACTAAATGAACTGGATATATATAGAAAACAGTGTTTGTTAATTAGAATTTTAATACAGTCTCAAAATATTTTTTTAGATAACATAATTGTACACATAAATGTGCTTTTATGTACAATAATTAGTCGCTGTAGTTTACCTATCAAGCCACAAGGAGGTGCATGCAAACGCGATGTGCATAAGTTTGTTTATGATATTTATTATTATTTATTACAATTATGGAAACATGGCTTACTGTAGTCAATAATATTGTTGCAATTAGTACTACATACCTTTAAAAAGATAAAGAAAAAGAAAAGAAAAAATGCTCATTGCTTCTGGTACTCAAAAAATATTCCTGTCATGCAATATTTCTATTACTACTACTACAATTGATCGATTCTCATTTATTTTATTTATTTATTAATAAATAACATAATATAATAATAATAACTGTAGTTTATTTATCAAACCACAAGGAGTTTTTTGTATATCGTGGTAAAATCATTGAAAATCATGGGTTCTATGTTTATTGTAATATTATTCTAGTGATTAGGACCATATAACTTAAGAGTGATAAATAAAAAAAAAACGTAAAAAAGCGCTTCTGAACTTATTTTTTAATTTATTTATTTATTTATAACACCCATGTTCATTAAATGAAATATTGCTGTGATGCATTATTATTCAGATGTATGAATGGACCTAAACTAAACTGTGAATCAGTGTTTGTCAATTATAGTTACATTGCATTATATTTTCTAATCAGTTAAACTCTGCGGACCCGGATACGGGTCCAAAATGACGTTAAAAATGTTTATGCTTCATTTACATTGCCTTCCTTATATGGTATCAGCCCATATATGGGTTCATTTGGTTAAATTTAGGCGAAAATACCAAAAAACGCCCTGAGTTTAAGTGGCTAGAGAACATTTTGTGCAAAAGGGGGGAAAAAGTCTCCGTTGTTTATTAATTCAGCCACAAGGGGGCGCATGAAACCACAAGTTTCTCTTTCAGTTCTGTACAGCTGTATGTTCCACAATTATGTAATTTTGCTTTATCCACATGATGTAAATACAGTCTGTGTATATGCAGTTGTATACGCAAAACTCGTGGCGGCCATCTGTATATTTTGTTTTTTACACAGTACGACATAAAATCTGCTTTGATAATGCTAAATACATGTTCACATTATACAAAAACCCTGAACAGAGGAAAAAAGAAACACTGTCAATTAAGCAGCCAGTGGAAGTCATCCGGAGGTCCATATAATCGCGTCAACTATGATTGGATGATGTTCTTAGGTCTTCATTCACTTTCTACAGCACTTTCATATGCGTCCCTCTGATCTTTGATTGAATCTCCAGCAGCCAATGGCGTTGTTTCTTTCCAGACGTCCCCGTCTGTCGCCCCGCCTCTGCCCATACGTCACGGACCGTTTATATACTGCAGGTCTCCGGTGGCGCGGCATGTTCGACTCGCACAGGATTAAAGTTGTAGAGCTTCGCCACACTTTGGGACTTCACATAAGGAGTTTATTTTCTAAGGCGAAGGATCTATGTTAATGAATGGACCCTGCTTGTTTTACCTCAGCGCAGCGTCTTTCTTGTAAAATGATGAATCCGGATTTGTTCAAACCGTCTCAAGCGGCTGCCAAGCCGAACCGGAGTAAATCCGAGCACGTTAAGACGGAGATCGCGCAGGTGGTGGTTGATGGAAAGACTGGACGATCGTACTGTAAAGGAAAGCTTTTGGGAAAGGTACCAATCTGTTTTTCAGTGTTTGAAATAAATCGGAGCTGGTCATTTTAATTATTTATTAAAATTTGTCACGGTTTATTTGATCGCATTTCCTGATGAGCTTAAACGTGCACGGTGCGCAGTATATCGGTCTCGTGCTTGGGTTTGGCTGGTTTTGGGAGGTGTGCTTCGGTGCACCAGAACCACTGGACCGCAGTGTCTGCGTTTCTAGAACCTGCCTGCCGGTTTTTCCAGCACTGCATCTTATGTCTTTCAAATATTGTCCATTATGTGATTTTCTGCAAAGATAGTGATGCTACTTGCAGTTTACAATTGGGAGGATTTTTAATACGTTTCCAGATTTGATTCGATGTCAGGAAAAGATGAATGGATGAATGAATCCGTGCATCAATGAAAATGATGCTACATTGCTCGTGAGCAGTGGAACCAATGACCACTGTCCCGGTTTTGTTCACTTGTTTACCAAACAAGGCTCTTTTTTAATTAGACTAACGTTATTGATCATTAGAAGTCTCGTTAATCCCAGTTTTTAAAGTGCCGCATCATTGTGCGATGCTGTAAGAAGGGGTTGGTCAATTGGGAAAAGAATACGTCATTCCTTTGTACATGTGTTGGACCAACTAAGGATTGGTGCAAAAATGCCCAAAATAATGTTTTGGGGGTTTTTTTGTTTTTTTTTACGAGATTGGGAATATCGATGTATGTTTAAAAAAAAAAAACGCACAGAATTTGTTAAACGAATCAACTAATAAACGTAGAATTTGCCTTTTTTTTTTTTTTTTTTTTTTTTTTTTTAAGAGGAAATATTAATGTTTTGTGCAGCTTTATGATGCATCAGATGTGACCGATATGGGGTCAACCGATAAATGGTAATATCAAAAAGAACTACCAACAGCTGCAAGACTTGAAGTTAATGGTAGATCGTTTAAAACGTTTTCTAATTCAAAAAAAACAAAAAAAACTGTGGTGCCTGATTTGATTTTAGAGATAATAGCCTTTTTTTTTTTCAGTTAAAGCATTTGCAAAATGGATGACACTGTTTTTATATGGCACAAAGGGTAAAAATGCCCATAAATCAATTCCAGATTGCAAATCCTGGTCTGGACATATTGACTGTCTCTGGACTCCATACTGCATTCTTGATATTAGTGATGCTGAAAACGTATGAATCAAAAGTTAAACACACTGGTAATCTCCAAATATGTTGTCTTTGTAAGCAACTAGCCAGTTTTTCAGACACCGTCATTGAGTTTTGAGACCGTTGTACAGGCACCTGCAGCCAAATCTTAAGTTAATCATAACCTTGAATTGAAACGGCAGCATTTTTTTCCTGTTGAAACATTCTGTGACTAAATATATAATGGCTTTTGTTTTAGGGTGGTTTTGCACGATGTTATGAGATGACGGATCTTGCCAACAACAAGATGTATGCTGTGAAAGTTATTCCTCAAAGCAGAGTCTCAAAGCCACACCAGAGAGAGAAGGTAAACAAACAATAGCCAAATACACATGTGAATCATCATATTTCTAGCTGCCTCTCTAATGTTTATTCATTGATTTTGTCTCGTAGATCATTAATGAAATCGAGCTTCACAAAAGCCTCCAACACAAGCATGTGGTGAAGTTTTCCCATCACTTTGAGGACCAAGACAACATTTACATCTTCCTTGAACTCTGCAGCAGAAAGGTGAGTTGCTTTGCTAAAAACAGAGCTCTCATGGTTTGCTTTGGTGAATACAAGGCATTTACTCTAATCCTGTGCTTCGTGTTTACAGTCTCTGGCACACATTTGGAAAGCAAGACATACGCTGACAGATCCAGAAGTACGTTACTACCTCAAACAGATCATATCTTCGCTCAAATACCTCCACAACAAAGGCATCCTCCACAGAGACCTCAAACTAGGTATTGTTTTTGTTTGTTTAGCCTGCTGTTTGAATCATAGTATGACATCCATCAAGTTCAATTGGTTTGATAATGCTCTAATTTGTTGTTGCAGGTAATTTTTTTGTGAATGAAAACATGGACTTGAGATTGGGAGATTTTGGGCTGGCAGCAAAGCTGGAGACAGTCGAGCAGAGGAAGAAGTGAGTTTGCATGCCGTCTTCAGTAACTTAAATAGAAATAAACTTGATTTGGTGTGCTAATGTAAAAAATGCTCTTGCAGGACCATCTGCGGGACTCCAAACTACCTAGCACCAGAGGTCTTAAACAGACAAGGCCATGGGACAGAGTCAGATGTTTGGTCGCTGGGTTGTGTAATGTAAGTCTTATCAAGTCTACTCTACACTGTTTTATGGTTATTGTGTAGACCAGGGTTTCCCAAACTGTGGTTTGCAAGTTCATGAAAGGCTAATAATTAAATTATAAATCCTCATTTAAAAATAAAATGCTTTCTAAAAATAGTCAAGATTTTGTTTACCTGCATGTCATGTGACTATTAACCATCATCAGAAAACCACGAACATCAAGTTAATATTTCAAGTACATGTTTTAGAGCAAAGGGGTTCATCTGACAAACAAAAGATTGGGACTTCCTGGTGTAGACTAATATATTAATGTATTTATGTTATGGAAAGTCCATAGTAAATACTTGATTTATGCTGCATCAGATCTGACAGCCTTGATGACGAGCTCTTTTTCTTGTCTATTTAGGTACACACTCCTTTGTGGGAATCCACCTTTTGAAACCTTAGACTTGAAAGAGACCTACAAGTGTATTAAGGAAGTGAGATACAGCCTTCCTCCTTCCCTCACTCCCTCTGCACAGAAGCTGATCTCCACAATCCTTAAGAAAAACCCGTCTGACCGCCTTACACTGGATCAGATACTGGCCCACGAGTATTTCACAAAGGTTAGCATACTAATAGCCCTGAATAGTCGTTCGCCTTTTCCTTTTAACGTAATTATAAAGATATTTTTTAAGTGTGTACTTTCTTCTTAGACAGTTTCTTACTGTAATTTTGTAGTCCTCTAATCTTTTTATTTTTTCTTAAATCCACCTACTTTTTCCCTCCCTCAGGGCTTCACCCCAGAAAAACTCCCTCCCAGCAGCTGTGTGATGGTGCCTGAGCTTAATCCACCCAGCCCTGCCAAGAAGTTCTTCACCAAGATGGCTAAAAGCCTCTTTGGCAAGAAGAAATCGAAAGGTATGTACCTACTTT